ACACCACGCACAAACCCTCTAGAACACTTTCATAAACACGTATATGTGACACACACCCTCTAGAACACTTTCATAAACACGTATATGTGACACACACACCCTCTAGAACACTGCCACTGCTGGGCATTTACTGTGCATGTCACAAGGTTTTAGTGACTTACATTCAAAAGTTTATTAAACTACTTTTTGTTCAAGTTATTATGTTATATTATTAGTGTAGCATAAAATCGTAGCTAATAATCTATATTTTAGTAGTATATAAGTTTTAAGTTCATAAGACAATATTTTTTTAAATCCTGAATTTCCACTAGTGTGAGAAATGTGACATATTTTCTGTAGGCATCTTCTCTTCTCTATTTTATGCACCACCCTTCCAGTAAGTGTGAAATTTAACATAAATTACTCACTATAAAATCATCATTGCTCAAACAAACCATAATTTTTATAGCCTTCAATTTTGTTTGGTTACAGAGTTATCAAGTAGAAAATTAGACACCTCTTACCACACCCACCTGTCACATTTTCTCATTCAGGATTTGTTTATAGTTCTCTCTTACGTTTAATTCTATATTATGTATAACCAATAGAAAGCCAAGGTTTCCATCTATCAAATGATGTATTATATTACGTTTTTTCTAAGCAGAGAATTATCAGTTTCTTTGTTAGTACAAGCTTCATTCCCATGGGAAAGACATCGACTAGCTTGGATGAATTTGTAACGAACCTTGTCGCATAGCTAGAAAGGAAGAAAAATTGTGAGAGTTAGGAGAAATTAACTGCTTTTTGAATGTTATTATTCTATGTTCTTTGGTGCATTACTTAATTAAATAAAAATTATTTAGTGCATTACTATCATTGGTGTGAAAATATTAGGGTTAAGTGTCATCAACAGTCTACAGCAAAAAAAAAAAACAAGACCTGAGTAAGTACTTTATTTCTTGTTTTTCATGTTTATTCTTTATTTACTATTATAAATGTAACTAAAATGTAAAAATAGGTATATCTTTAGATTAGTTAAAGATAGATTAAGTAAAATATATAATAATAATATAATAAAAATGTTTCATGAGGTCCATGTTCTCCAAGTGATTTACAACTTATAATGGCACAAATAGTAGTTAGACAGGGTTCAAAGGGCAATAAAAAAAATAAAATTAAAGTATAAATAAATGTATATTGTTACAAGTTTAAAGCTACTTAGGATAAACTAATGTAGTGTCATGTTACATTTGAAGTCATTCTAGAAAGAAAAAATGGTAATTTAGATTTATTTAGATTATTTTGTGTGTGTGTGTGTGGTAGTGGTCGTATAATCGACCATATTGTATAGTAGGGTTGGGTAGAAAGTAAAACTAACAGTAAATTAAAATTTAAGTTT